GGCCGCAGCTCGGCGACCGCGCGCAGCGCCCGGAGGCGACGCAGGTGAGTCCGGGCGGGACCCCGGGCGGCCGCGTCCCCCGACTCGCCAGCGGCCAACTCTGCGGGCGGGATGGAGGGGACTCGGGGTTCGCCCCTGGGAGGAGGGGTCGCCCGCTGTGGACAGCAAACCGTGGCGATTGGGGCTCCGTCCTGGCCGCCGTGGGGGCCCCGAGGCCCTGACCCGGGAAGGACCCCCCTTTCCCAGCCCGTCCCCGGGGCTGAGGCTGGATTCGGACGGCGGGGCGGCCGGTGGCGTCGGCGGGGTCCCGAGCCCTGCACCCCGCCTCCTGCCCCGTCACCCGCAGGACGACCCTCGTCACCCCGCCCCCCGCGGGCGCCCCGCAGCCCCGGGCCGCGCCGCCCGCCTCGAGTGGGGCCCGAGGTCCAGCCGGGATTGCGCTCGGCCCTGGCCTCGCTTCACGCCTCTGCCCCCCACCACCTTTTGGGGGGCGGGGCTCGGTCCCCCGAACCCCCAATCCTGCTCCCCCTCTCATGACAGGATTCCAGATCCCGATGGGGTTCCGCGTGCGCCGCCAGCTTGAGGCGGGGACGGGGGGCGGGTCTGTAGACGGGGGGGGGGTGAAAACGGGGAGCGTGGGGAGCCGCCGCCGCCGCGAGGTTGCCATGGCTCCCCGGTGGCCGAACCGGGGGCGCCGGAGATGCCAGTCACGGAGGCCCTTCCTCTTTGTGCCCCTCTCTCTCTCGCTCTCGCTCTCCCCGTGTCTCCCCCCCTCAGCCCCCCACACACCCCCCGTGAGGGCGCGCGGGGCGGGAGGGGAGACAGTGATTAACTCGGAGCGCGGGGATTGGCGCCGCCGGCGGGGAGCCACCCGTCACCCGCGCCCCCTGCCGGCCGCCAGCCGCGCTCCCGGTCGGGGCCGGGCTGAGGATCCCTCCAAACCCGGGCGGAGAAGCCGCCGCCGCGCGGCCCAGGTACCCGCGCCCGGGGCTGCACGGGGCTGGTTTGGGGGTGCGGTTTGTGGGCCCAAAGGCGGGCGGGGGCAGCGGCGCAGGTGCGCGGCGGCCTCGCG